AGCCGCGGCGTGGCAGGAGCCAACCACGAGGTACTTACCCGCGCAGACACCGGGCTGGCAACATATTTCAAGCGCCTGGTTGCCGGCTGCAGGTGCTGTGCGCCGACAAATCGAATCAGGGGGAAATAATTTATTTCCTAATGCTGTTTGCGGCGTGTTCGCGGCAGAATTTACATGAGAGAGATTACTTTAATAAGCCAAACATCGCTGCCCGGGCCCGATCGCCGCCACCGCCACGGTGCGGGGACGTGTAATTGTTCGGGGGCTCACCTGTCTGCAGGGGGGAGTGGGATTAAATCTGCGGCTGTTCCCGCAGGGAAGAGCTGGGTGAGCCCCTCCTTCCCCACGCCGGGGAATAGGGAGAGGGGATCCACGTGTCCTCTCACCGGCACTTGCCTTCGTCTCCTTGTGTTTAGGGGGTTACCCCACTCTGCTCCCCCCTGCCCGTCGGGCCTGATCCTGGGCTAGCTCCGCTCTTGGGGTGTGGGTGTCTGACCCCCTGTGCATGCAGGAGAGCCTGGTTATCATGTCCCCCCCAGGGTATTGTGCCCGTAGGATGCTGTTGCTTGCAAGCTAACCCTCGTCTCTTCTCTCTTGGCAGCAAGAACTCCATCCTGAAGGAGGCCATGGCATCGGGCACTCCCAAGGTAAGCCTCCCGCTCCTCGCTCCCAGGCCTCTCCTGGGTGCGCCGGGCTAATTTCGGGCTTTGTCTGCGGCACGGGCTGGGCTCTGAACAGCCTGCAGCCAAAGTATGGGGCGGCCACCACAGCTCCAGATTGCAGCTAACGAGAGCGGCTCCGACACGTGGAGCTCACGCCATCAACCCGGGCATGGGAGTGGCGAGAGCCAGAGCCAAACGCCAGCTGGGGAGAGACAGGCGAGCGGCGTTGTGGGAGAAGAGAGAGCTGCCGACCCATGCCGAGAGCTGTGCTGCGTCTCTGGCAGATGCCCTCCTGCATCACCCACCCACCCCGCCAGCTCTGGGGCTGGGGACCTGTTGCTCTCATGCTAAGAGTTTGCACAGACATAACCCTGGGGTGATTGGGGCCAGACAAATGGATGGACAGACAAAGAAATGGGAGGGGGTCACTGATCATGGTGTACCCATTTCACAGGTTAGAGCAATGAGGCAAAGAGAAGCGGCTTCCCCAGGGTTGCACTAACACTAAGGTGCTCATTAGCACAGACACCCAGCTCCCCTCGTTTCCCACAGGCAAAGCCTCAGCACCTAGCTCGCCAGCCTCAAAGGGGCACGTGCACATACAGACTGTCTGCGGGGCTGGTGTCACCCCTTGTCACCTCCCAGGTCCTCCGGCTGCTTTTCAGGTCTTCCAGGGTAGAGCAATGGCAGGAGCATGTAGGACAGTGATCGCACTGCACTGTATCAGGGTAGAGCAATGGCAGTAGCACTTAGGACAATAATAACACTGCGCTGCATGAGAATAGAGCAATGGCAATAGCATGTAGGATGGTGATATCACTGCACAAGATCAGGGTAGAGCAATGGCAGTGGCACTTAAGACAATAATAGCACTGCACTGCCCTGCATAAGAAAGAGAAATGGCAATAGCATGTAGGATGATGTTATCACTGCACTGTATCACGGTAGAGCAATGGCAGTGGCACTTAAGACAATAATAGCACTGCACTGCCCTGCACTGCATAAGAATAGAGCAATGGCAGTAGCATGTAGGATGGTGATATCACTGCACAAGATCAGGGTAGAGCAATGGCAGTGGCTTGTAGGACAGTGATCGCACTGCACTGTATCAGGGCAGAGCAATGGCAGTAGCACTTAGGACAATAATAGCACTGCATTGCATCAGGGTAGAGCAATGGCAATATCATGCAGGATGGCGATAGCACTGCACAACATTAGAGTAGAGCAATGGCAGCACGTAGGACAGTAATGGCACTGCATTGCATCAAGGTAGAGTGATGGCACTAGCACGTAGGATGGCGATAGCACTGCGTTGCATCAGGGTACAGCAGCGGCAGTAGCATGTAGTATAGTAACAGCACTGCGCTGCATCAGGGTAGAGCGGTGGCAGCAGCACACAGGGTGTGATAGCGCTGCGCTGCCTCAGGATTGCTGGCCGAGGCTCCAGCCCCACATCACCACACACGTTTCCGCCATGGGAACTGATCCTCGGGGAGGGAACGGGGCTTCCCCAAAGCCCAGGGCACCTGGCCCACCCCCACTGTGGAACTGGAGCTCTGCCAGCTTGCAGGTTTGAACCCCCTGCCTGGCATCGCTCCAGTTAGGCTGGCCCTGATACCTGAAAAAGAGCCAGCGGAGGGAGACGCCGGGGTCTTGGAGGCTGCCTGCCTGCCGCACAAAGGAGTGAGGAAGGGCACGGGCAGGGTGGAGGTCCTGTGGCCGGCAGGCTCCCCTCTCCCAGCTCGTCAAGGCTGGATGCTGGTGACTCCGCAGTGCCGAGCGTGGAGCCGGCTCGTAGGGGCAGATCAGCTCTTTGGGGGCAAAGACCCCCCAGTCGCTGACAGATGCTGGACAAAGAGGCAGGGTGCGTCTCCCAGGAGGGCCGAGCTTTTGAAATGAGAATCTCCCTTGCCTGGAGCATGGGGATTAAACCGGGCTTGAAAGTTGTTGAGTGGAAACGAGACCTGTTGCCGCGCCTACCCCTCTCCTTTGCCCAGCTCGTCTGGGCCTAAGGATGTTAACTTCAAGGAGCCAGAGAGTGGGGACGGGAAGGGGGAGCTGGAAATGTCTCCTGCCCCACTCAGGAAAGCCTCTCAGCCTCTGAGGATTCAGGATTTCTTAGTGGCTTTTGCTTGGGGACGAGCCTAGCGTGGTATGGAGAGTGTGATCGGACCACAGCCCTTGCTAGGCCTGGGACGTGCCCGTGGTCAGGCATGAACCAGTCCGGTGACACCAAGAGGCAGGACCCATTCGCTGTCAATCTGACTCCGTTGGCAGCAGCCCGATGGTCACAGCCATGTGTCCCACCTCTGCCCTCGGGTCTGGAGGCCTCCAAATAACCCCCGGGAGTCAGTGGTCCTCCCCTGTGCTGCAGCTGCCAGAGCAAGGATGGCGTATCCGTACCGGTGGGGATTGTCATTGCAGCTCCAGCCCCTCTCCACCCGGGCAGCATGGCATAGCGAGCCCAGGTGCCGGCAGAGACGATGGTGCTGGAGGTCTCCCCACAGCTCTCCCTGCAGCCGGGAGGCACGTCCCGGGGATCTGGGGCTTTGGTGCATGCCCTGATGTGGCCCCATCTGTGGTTTTTGTGGTGTCCTGAGAAGGAAGGGCTGGACGAGGGGCGCCTGGGAGAGGAAAGGGAGGGCGGCGGGGGCCACAGATCCATCTGAAGGGATGGAGACAGCCCTTGCTGTTCCCAGGCTGGGGACAGCTGAGTCACAGAGCCGCGGGGCTGGCAGGGAGCGGCAGGGTCACATCCTGCTTGAGGCAGGATCAGCCCTGTCCAAACCAGCCCAGGCAAACCCCGTGTCCGACCTCGGAGCAACACGACTCAGTCATCCCTGAGACAACACACACCTAACCCCCTAACCTGGCACAGGGAAAGCAGGGGGGCTGCAGCCGCCGCTGTCCTGCTTCAATTAAATGTTGTCGATATTTGCTCAAGAAACTCCATGTGGCCGTGCCCCTGTTGCAAAGGAAAGCAAAACCCACCCCAGTCCAGACCAGTCTGAGCAGGGGGGAAGCATTTAGCATCTCTCTAGTCATCAAAGCGGAGACGCATGGGGCCAGATGGAGAGTGCACCCATCCCAGCCCTGCTCGTGGCAGCATCGGCGCAGCACCGCAGAGCCCAGGGAGCCGTCGGCCTGTGGAGCCTGGGCACGAGCGGCACAAGGGAGGGATGAGACTGTGTGAAGAGGGGGGCATGGGGTGGCAGCAGGGGAAGGCTTCTCCCCCCCGCCTTGCAGGGACCCCCTGACTTACAGCTTGTCCACCCAGCTCAGCCGCACCAGGGCCTTGCTCACACAGCCTCTGCTGAAGCGAGCACCAGGCCAGGATAGCTTGTGCTAGATGCACGTCTACTTTGGGTAGTCTATAAGGTGCACATCTACCCTAGTGTTTCATAGAATCACAGAAGTGGGGTCGAAGGGACCTTGTAGATCTTCAAGTCCGACTCCCCGCCTGGGCAGGAGCAAAAACTGGGCTCAAACGATCCCAGCTAGGTAGGCATCAAGCCTCCTCTTAAAGCCCCCCAGGTTTGGGTCTGTCCTGACTTGGCAGAGGGTGCCGAGAGGCAGGCGGCCAGCGTACAGCATGCAGCCCTCTGGCTGGGCTGGGATCAGGGCCGCAGTGCTATCGCCCTGTTATTTTACAGCAGCGTGGAGCAGTTTGAGGAAGAATTACTGCACCCGGCGGGGAATCTGACCACTAAAGCTCTCCAAGGAGAAAGAGCTTTGAAGGCAGGCGAGGCTGAGAGCCGTAGACCTTGACAAGATCCCTGCGCCAGCATGGCCAGTTAACTCCTCAGGGCCATTGTACGGTGGTCGGAGCAGGGGGCTGGGGGTCAGGACTCCTGGGTTCTTAGTCCAAGTGCTGCTGTGCCCCTGGCTCAGCAGGTGCCCTTAGGAGAGTCACTTAATAAGTCTGAGCCTCATCGTCCCTCAGTGCACAACTGAGCTATGGAGACAGATTTCCAGCGCCATCTTCTCCCAGGAGACACAGAGGCTTTCAGGGACCAGACTACCACAGGGCACATCAGCCAAGGCTGTCAATGCCCAGTCATCTGGCATTGCCCCGGGAGAGAAGGACAGGCTCAGTGTGCAGCTCCGACCCCCGGCATCTGCAGGAACAGGGGGACGTATCTTCATGGCCATGAGACACGCACACCTTGACTGGACACCAGCAGGAGCAGCTTTGGAAACCTGGCAAAGTTTCCACGAGGGTAGCGGGACCATCCCGGTATCAGGGAACTGCAAGCAATAGCATAAAAGCCGGCTGGGGGGACCGAGCTGCGGTACGGTATCACGCGTGGCTTTCAGGTTACAGTTCTCAAGTGATAACAGCTATTAGCAACACTCTGACTGCTTCCCCGCGGCGGAGGGGAGGGCGGGCGGCAGCCAGCATGTCAAGCCATCACCTCCATGCTAAGTGATAAGTACCTATTTAGACGGCAGAGTTAAAGCCCAGCACATCAGGCAGGAAACACTTTGTGCCAAAATAAGGAAAAAATAAAAATGTAGGCCATAGAGATGTATAAAACGCGGGGCGAGGGTATTTGTTCTGCTGACAGCAGCCGTGATGGATTGTTTAAGAAAAATAGACTCCCTGTGTTTTTCCGGGGCTATCAGAAAGCAAGAGTCCAGCACTTAATAGTCTCAAATGACTGGCCTTGAAAGGCAGCGAATGGCAGCGACAGCCGTGAGCCTCTTTCCTGCGATGACACCTGACCTGCCGATGGGAGATGGAGAAGGCGGTTAGGGTGGGGGGCGGGGAGCCATTTCCAGCCATTTCTGGCTGCACTCGGGATGGACACCTTCCCCCCCACCCCACCGGCACGCTCAATGGTGTGCACATGTAAGGTTTAGGGCGCTGCGTGTGTACCCCACCAATGCGCTGTTTGTACGTGGGCGTGCAGGCCTGCAGAAATACACTGCTCCCACAGATACACCTGGTTGTGCTTTTTTAGTCCTATAAGCATGCCCAGCAC